GTATGGTCGGTTCTGTTTCTGGCATTTAACATATTAAGTACATACAACCATTTGCTCAGTGATAAGGTTTTCTATCACATATGCATGTTGCCATCTGTATTAATCAAATCATGATGAAAATTCTCTTGCCTTGGATTTAATGTAGGACAAAGGCCTTATCAAGTAATAAGACTTCTGCACACTAACTGCTTTTCAGGCAAGTAATTTGTTTGAGCAATCTGTGGCAGATGATGCTGAGGAGAGAGTTTGAGGCCCATGCCTAGAGACATCCTCTAATGAACAGCTTTATTTCCATGCTTTGAAGTTTTCAAATATCAGATTGTAAACCAAGTGATGTTTATATATAGTTCTAAAAGTTCTAAAAATCTGCAGCTTTTGTGAGGTAGCTCTAAAATTTTAGATTTCTTAAAGGATGGAGCATGGCAATTAAGGTGACGTGAAACAGCTGTAACTGCGTGGAGACATATTCCTTATCACACTTTTAAGAATTAGGGAAACCATCTGCACAGTGTCAGATCTACATTGGGGGAGGGGCTGAAACTTAAACTGTTATAGGCAGCTCTTTACAACCATCAACAATGTCTGGGTCACCACTGTTATCTTCTTCAATGGGGTTGCTCCATGACAGATCACCACGTATTTTTTTAAAAAGTGGACTAAAGTTGCTTTTGGGGCCCCTCTGGGATTAGGGGTCTGGAAGCATAAGCTTCATTAGTTTCATAGTAGATCCACTCATGCAGCTACATTGGATAATTTGTTATGTGCAGAACAGGGTTTGCTGTAATTCTACCAAGCTGTTCCACAGATTTCCTTCCTACTCTATCCGAAGAAGAAACTGGCCTAGCATGAACAGCTGAATTATTGGAAAATAACTCTTTGGTTTAGTGATCTATGTTTGTTCTCATGATTTGTTTTTTTTTTTTTAATTGTATTTTTATTGTCCTTTTAAACTTTACTCATGTTTCAATTATTGCGAGCCACCTTGAACCCCTTTGTGGGAGAAAGGAGGCATGAAAGTAAAGTAAATGAAATGAAATGTGGCTGTGCAAGTGAAGTCTAGTCCTATGGAAACTAAAGGGGCAAGGCAGTGAATCACAGCTGCTGTGTGGTTAAAAAGGGCCTTCTCTGTGGCTGCTCCCAGGTTATGGAATGCTTTTCCTTGGGATACCAGGTTGGCCTCCTCCCTTTTATCCTTCCACTGACAGCTGAAGAGCCACTTTTTCAGGCAGGCTTTTAACAATCATGACCGAGCCCCTACATGTCATTTTTTTTAGTTACAGCAGTTTTTAATGCTTTACATGTTTGTAATCATTCAAAGGAATAGTTTGTTTTTTAATGTATAACTTAGTGTGCTTTTAATTCTATTCTTGTTAATACTGTGAGGCATTCAAAGGAATAGTTTGTTTTTTAATGTTTAACTTAGTGTGTTTTTAATTCTGTTCTTTTTAATACTGTGAGGTGCCTTGAATCCCCTTATTGGGAGAAAGGCAGCCTATAAAAAAACAAAACAGGAAGCAGCGTTGGTTTACAACAATTGGCCAGATTTTGTTTCTAACATTACTTAAATTTTAATGTCTTCATTATGGCACTGTTATACATGTAAATGTTACTTTTTTTGTGCTGCTGCTCCCAGAATCCCATGTGCTGGTTAGTACAGGTGTAAATGTGCATCTAGGATGTGGGAGATCTCTGAAAGTGTGCATTTATATTATAAAATGTCTATGGAATAGTAATCAAAGCTTGAAAATTTTACCCACCATGCTGGTGTTGGGATTCCGGGAGATACAGTCCAAAAAAAGTAACAGTTTCAACAGAGTCGATCACGTGTATTTTCCTCTGTTTCTCCAGCCCTCCTTGTCACCCAAAGTGCAAGTTCAGAGCAGCAGATCCACCACAGAAAGTTAGGTGGGATTAACCTTAAAAAACAAGCAACAGTACAGGTCTCTTTAGAAAGGTTTCGGTCTGTTTTCTCTTCTGCTTGACTCACTTACTGGAAAGGCTTCAACAGAGTATTTTGTTTGGGGGGAGGGTTCTATCTGAATAGAATTATCTTCCGTTTAAACACAACTCAGGCAGGGAAGGATGGTGACAAACTGCTGCATCTGAAATGTGACTCCTTGGGAAGCCTCTCTGAATAGCCATGCATTTTTCATTTACTGTATGTTTTTAATTAGGAAAGCCAGGTCCCCAGCATACAACATATTACCAAATTTAAAACAGGGGCTAGACTTCCAGGTGTAAAAATAAAATGTGTGGACATGAGCTTGGTACATTTTGTGTGCTCTGTGAGGGCCAGTCATTTTTAGTTACAGTAGTGTTTTATACTATGTTACAGTGGCAGAGCAATTCTTAAGCCTCTTGAAGAAACAATCACTGTTTGAAATATGGCAATTATTGTTACACTGGCTCTAGTTTTACATTTTGTAGTTGAAATAAAAATTATTGGCAATTTTGCCTATGTTATAGTAGCTTTCACTCTTCCAAGGCTAGTGTATTGTCTAATCATGCACACTCACGGAATATGAATAATTGAAACATTTCTGGAGAAGCAACATATGCCTCAGTTAAATGCATTCCCCATAAATCACTTCAGCTGAAGCAATAGCTTTAAGAAGTTTTATGCACATAACGTTTTTCTAAATTAGCTGTGCTCATTTTGCAAACTGTTACTGGAGGTCTACCACAGTAATCTCTTGACCACAATTCTGCTTCTATTTGGATTTCCTTCCATTTGAAATCCAAATAGTGAACACAGATTTTGGTGAATAACTTTAAAAATTGGCTTAAATTGTAAAAGCCAGTTGTAAACTGGATTTTACTTTGTAGAGAATTACTTTCAGTTTTCACTTTAGAAAACAGATACTTTGACTAACTTTTCATTGCCAGAGTGGTTTTGAAAAATTTGCTGGGAAATATTTTTATCATATCAAACTATAAACAAGAACAAAGTGCTAGTATTCACAGAAAATGGATTTAAAATGTAAAGCTCTGTAAAGATTAGAGTACTTGGATGTTAAGTGCTGTGGGAAAATTATGCTGAGTTGCAATTTAATTTTTTTGAGACATGAATGGGTCCCTTAAAAGAAAGCTAAAAATTAAAAATAGAAATGGAATTGATAAACTGATCTGTTCCTGCTCCCACTGGACCAACCATCTCCACAACCACAGAGTCATGGAACACCAATTGCTGAGTGAAGTGGAATTGAGGATTGAGAGGGGAACAGGCAAAGTTGTTAGGCTTCTGCTAGTGATGAAATGGTTTTGTTTTATTTTTTTAAGCATATGACTGTATTTAATTGTCCATTTGATTTCATAAATGTAAGCCATTTGAGGGACACCAGAGACACATATCTCATAAATAAGCAAATATTGAGAATTCTAGTAGAGATACTTACTTACTACAATTGAATACATTTTAAATAATGTTTTGTTGGTCCATAAAACAAACAAAAAAATTGTCCTGATTCTGTAATCACTACCAAAAATGGCTATAGCCCATTTAGGCATTTAGACTGAAAGATGATGGAGATTGGAATGTGTATATAAGATCCATCCCTAACCCTTCTGGAAGTTCTGGCAGCTCTAAGAAGGAAAGGCTGCTGATCACAGTAAATGCTGTATGTAACTTCTGCTAAATGCACCTTCACATGCAGATCTTTGCACTGAAGATAATCCGCAAGACTTCTGGGTGATTACTGCATTAAAGTATTGATGAAACTCTGTAGGACTCGAAAACTGTATGTGACTATTTACCAAAATCAGGTTAAGGTTTACAAGAAGACCATTTCCTGCATTGTGCATACAAACAGTATTTATTGAATTCCTATATTGCTTTTTCAGCAATACTCCCAAAGCAGTATCTAATTGAGCTCATTAAATAACTGAAAGGGCAATGGAAGTAGAAAACTGCACTGCAAAGGAGTAGTCAACATCTCTGTACTATGTATGCTTACATCTTGAGTTTTATTTTAAGGATAGTGGGGGGTTGTGCAGAGTATTCTGGAGGCATTACTGAGACATTTACATGTGAATTCATAGTTAAAGGTGAGACTACACATTGTACATGGAGCTCTATGTAGTATTATTTCAATATGTTTTTTAAAAATCAGAACTTATCAGAAGCATAGAGAGAGCAGGGAATCCTTAACTCTCTCTGATGGTCGCCTTCCTGTTCTGTATGACATCCTTGGCTGAGTTTCGAGTGTAAGAGTAAAGGGTTACTATGACAACTTGGAGTAAATAATGCCTGACAAAGAAGCAGTTAAGTAGCTCCTACTCATATCACTCTCTGCTTCTTCCCAAAGTTGTATTTGATTTTTTTCCTAAAAACCATTGGCCTTTGAAGCAAATCAGTTCAGCACTGTATGGTCACTGGGAAGAGAATGATTCTATTGTCAATTTCAAGTTACCATCAGTAACTTAAATCCTACACCAGGAATGGTGACTGACTAAAATTTGCAGCTAGGCTTCTACTTCTACAAGGTTTACGTTATGAAAAATCCACATTACAGTAGGCTTGATTAAAAACCAGAGGGCTTTATTAAAAATCAACATAATGTTTAACTCTATTATTTTTCCAATAACTTTTCCTTTTGGCACATGAGTGAGATTAATCATGATATGGTGGTAGAGATGAAACCAAAAAGCAGAACATGCTTTTTAAAATATACTGATTTCTTCCAATAAACAATGCAACATTTTAAATAATAATTGTGTGCTCTCAAATCAGTTCTGATGATTACCCTTTTCAGGGTTTTCTAGGTAGAGAGTACTCAGAAATGGTTTAGCATTTCCTTTTGGGGAGCACCCCGGGACTATGCAGCTTGCTCAAGGCCACACAGGCTTGCTCTTCTGAGATACACAGTGGGAAACTGAACTCTGACCTCAGGCTCTGCAGCCAGATACCAAATTCTGAGCTATCCAGCCAGCTGAAACATTTTTAGGAATATCAAAAATACCCATTATCAATGTGTGAAATTAGTTGACTCATTTTTTTCCAGGTCATCTGAATCAAAAGGATGAAAAAGGGAAATGTATTAAAGCAGAGACACAAAATGGCACCATTAAGCTCAAAACCCAAACCTGGTTCCAATCAGTGAAACTGAAGACTACATGATGGAGTAGTGGTCCTTACCTGCATAAATCAAGAAGCAAGAAAGGAAAATAACTATGAATTGTGTTGATAACATGCGTGGGATCTTAACAAATGTTTATATTTACACTGAAAGGTGTTTTACCGTTGTTCACCTCCTTCAAACAACTGGATGTTTTCAAATCATGAAAATTATATCTGATTGTCTAATTTTGCACTGGGTCATTCTAAATTATGATTCATTCAATAAACACTTTTAAATGGCATGTGGCATTAAAACATTTATAAACATTTTCATTGTTAGTGTTTTAGATACTGTCCCTTTCTCAAAATACCCTTTTGCTGAATTACTTAATTTAGTGTAAAATGTATGTTGGAAAAAGCAACAGCACAGAGGCTTATCCAGTGTGAAAATATGCTGTATGAAGTGTTTGATCATTCTTAAATGCATCCTTTTTCCTGCTATCAACACAGGCATGGTAGTGTGCAACAGCAACAACAATCTTAGAACTGCAGAGCTTGAAAGGACCCTATGGATCAGTAAGTCCATCCCCTGTCAAAGAAGCACAGTGGGGAATCAAACTCCCAAACTCTGGCTCTGCAGTGAGACACCTGAATTGCTGAGCTATTCTACAGTGCAGCAGTATTTGTCCATTTCTTGGCATTTTGAATTGTGGATACAGAAGCACAGCACTGTCTACTCCTAATGTGCCAAATTTGGTGCTGATCCAAAGCCTGGCTTAAAAGTTATTATTATTTTTATTTGGGGTGCCCCCATTTTTAGGATTGACTTGTAGAATGTTATTTTGCTTTGTTGCACAATAGCAGAGAGTGCAGTGATAATCTAAAAACAATCAGAATCACAAGGCTGGAATGAAAAGCCACATGATGAAATCTATTTTGCACCACATATTGAGCTGTTTTGATAATAACAAAGCACAATAAGCTACAGTCAGAACAGGAAGAAAATGCACCATATCAATATATACACTATTAGTGCAAATAGCTTGAAACTATTTAAACAAATAAGTCAATTTTCCATATACACTACACTACCTGAGCTTTACTTTTCTATTTTAATTTTCTATCTTTACTTTTCCATTTTGACTGTTTTTCCATCTTGAGCTACATTATTATTATGTTTAAATTGTGGTGTAAAGTGTGTGTGGATTGTTTGTATGCTACTTGTTGTAAGCCGCCCAGAGTAGACGCTGTCTAGATGGGCAGGACACACACACACACACACACACACACACACACACACACACACACACACACACACACACACA